GCGACGCAGAGCGAGAGATGGAGGGACAGATAGAAAGAGAAATAAAAAAAGGTTGAGGGAGGAAGTGGTGAGAAAAGGGAGGGAGGTAAATGGAGAGAGGGTAGAGGAGAGCGCTGGGGAAAGACGGAGGGAGGGAGGGCTGAGATCTGAGATGCTGACTCAGCGATTTTCTGAGGCAGAGGAAGTTTCCAGAAACCCACTGTGACCGCCACAATCGCAAAGCGCCGAGCTCTTCTCTACATCTTTCTCTCCTCGTCCTGCTTAGAAAAAGAAAGTGAGAAAGAGAGAGATGATTCTGATGGAGAGGAAGAACCGTTGCCTCTGTATCTGAAACCACCTACTCGTCTTGTCTTGTTCTTCATCTCTTCGCGACTGAAGAGGCCTGTCTGTTAAGTTGCTCACAAACGCAAAGGTTTTTTAGTGAGTCAGAAACAAAACATCGACTCTGAGAAATGCAGCAGTTTACTCTAAGTGGTTCGGTGTGGGAGTATGAGGTAAATGCGCAGTTCTTCTCTGATGCCACCAACAGGTGGCAGTATTGCTGCTTGTTTCTCCACTGGAGAAAAGTGCATCAACAGTTTATGTTGCCTCCTTGCCTTTCTGGGAAAGTACCAAATTGAGAGTCAGGTGAAACTCTGGACTTGACATGCCAGATCTACTGTTGAGTAAAAGTAGTGGCCTTCAATGTTTAGGAGTAAAGCTTATTGCTGTAAGCACTGATGGTGATCACTACTTCATGTTTTCAGGCCTTTTTATGGTCAAGTTTTGGCAAATTTCCCAAAGACTTCAAAGTGGAAGTCAAATTGATTCTGGATATTAGTGAGTGGTTCTAGTCGATGGCTCTTGGGGATGCCTGATTTGGGCCCCCATTAAGAAACCCTAAGCCTCACTGGAAAAAAGTCTGGTTCCAATGACCTACATTAAAAGTAGGTTTCAGTGTAAGTCAACAGAACCACACTTCTTTCCACGTCATTTTGGGTCGTTTCTCTTGGTTCATTCATCATGAAACTTACACAGAATGTAAAGGCCAACAGGCATTTTCATATTAGGTCAAAAACTGAAAAAGACAAAAATGGAGATATAAGGTTTTGTTCCGACAGCAGCAGAATATTCCTTTTAAAATTGTAATACGGTAGCAAAACATAGTGTAATACTATCATCCACATTTTCAAAGATTCAACTTGAAACCTGATGTCTATTTTAAGGCACACAAACATTGCACTTTGGCCACTTTAGGCCCACAAGACAAAAAGTTTGGACCCCCTTTGTATTTGCAGATATGTGAGTTATGCTGATTGCACAAAACATAAAGTCATGTAACTGATATATATGCCTAAATAAATAGTTCCTATCACTGTACACAAAGATCGGTGTTGTAATATTATCTATTATTAACCCCTTAAAATCTCAGGCTTATTACATACTAAGACTTACTATTCAGTAATTGCATGGACTTCACTGCAAACTGCCTGAGCTATTCTTACGTTATAGAAGTGTGAAATAAAACTTTGGGGCTGCCAGTGGGAACTATCTATTTGAGGGGTTAAATATACCTAGACCCGCCTTCGGACCTCCCTATTCTGTCTGGCCTATTTCGCTCTGTCAGTGTTTTTTTCTAATTTGTCTAACCATGGCGCTTTGAACCTGGTGAATTGGTCTGTTTTGGTGTTATTATGGTGTGGAATAATCTTTCTGTTTTCCCAGAATTCAGGCACACAAGCTGATCGAAGACCTTTGGCATTGTGAGGCAAAAAAGTCCCCAAAGAAAACATTCTTTTCAGATTTACTGCTGTTTTACCATCATCAAAATTCCATATAAAACTTGCAGACACTGCAGCGCCTGGTTCCTATCACCACCACTCTACACTGTACCACCTCACATCAAATTTCCTAAACTTCTATCTGTTTTCCCAGAAATCAGGCACACAAGCTGGTTGAAGGCCTTTGGAAGTGAGGAGGCTGTTTCATAACTGCACAAAATTTGGCAAGGTGTACAAGTGCGTGAGCAGATCCAGCAGCGCCGCTTGGGAGGAGCTTAACGAGAAATGCGAATCGCACGCTATAAAAGTTGCCAAAAGCATAGGTACAATTCATTCCGTTTCAGCCAGCAGGGATTGGGAGGTGCGTCAAGATGGATCATGTGTTTACAGACTGCAGGGCCTGGTGGAGGCCCTCAAGAGGTTCCCCAAAAGCGTGAAGGGAAAGTATTGACGGTAAGAACAGTTTGAAAAACAGATTGAACGCTTAACGGAAGCCGAGATCTGCTGTCTTTGCTTTTGAAATTTCTTGTGATTACAGGTTGTTGCTGTGCCCGTAATGGAGCGCAAACTCAACCATTCACTGACTCAGCTGAGGAGTTCAACGTCAGCTGGACTCGTCGCAGCATCTCTCAGATACCATCTGTGTAGCTGAGTAGGTGTGCCCTCGTTCTCTCTGCTTAGGTCACTCTTTCGGTCTATCAGATTGTGGCAGCTTTGTTTTTCTTTTTTCCTTCTTTCACCTGTGAGTCAAATCAAATCTAATCATGTCTGCAAACTGATCAGTCTCGGATGAAAAAGCGAGTGAGAACAGGTGCGAGTGAGAGTGTTAAAGCGTCACACGTGTAGAACAGAACTGCACCTCGTGTGTGTTTGTTTGTATGCGTGGGAGGGTGTGTGTGTTGTGTTCTGTTTTCTGCAGGCATGCTGAGGAGTGAAACCACACTGGCTGGGCTGACAGTAAGTGACGTTGGGCTCAATGGTAGCGAAATTTTCCCCAGACTCATGGAACCTTCCGGCTTCCGTTAACGCAGCTCTCTCGTTCAGGATGCCAGTCGCAGTTCCAGCAGCCTCAAGGCCCTCCATTAGCTTCAGGACGGAGACTCCACTGGTGAGGATACGGAAAACAGGGGTTAGGAATTGTGACGCGTTCAAACAGAACTGCATCACTTGCCTGAGATACGCATGTTCCATTCTTGACGCGGAGGGCCAGCGTCCAGCAGCGTCCAATGGTTTCCCAGGGTGAACACATCTGATTCAGCTCATTGGTTAATAACCAGGTTTGGTAGGTGTGCTTGAGCAGGGACATCATCTAAATATGCTGGATCCAAGGCCTCCAGTCTCAGAATTGTGTACCCCTGCACAAAGAAAAGCACAATATTTCTTTACCGAAAGAACCATTTGCATGCACAAGTGGTTTGTTCCATGGTGAAATACTTTTTTGATTTATGGAGAATGTATTGCATTAGGTCCGATCTAGAACCTTTTTAAAAAGCACCAAAAAGGTTTCAGGTTTCAGATTCAGAATTGTACACCCCTGCACTCTAAAAAGAGGAAAACACAATAGTTCCTTGCTGAAAGAACCATTTGCATGCTTAAAGTGTTCTTTGCATTGTGAAATGGTTCTTTGATTGGTGGAGAATATGTCGCATATGGTTCTATCTAGAACCTTTTTAAAAGGGTGCTTTATAGCACCAAAAAGCTTGACATCATAACAATAGCAGAAACCTTATTGGTGCTACATAGAACCAATCAATCTGACGAACCATTTACCATCATTCATCAAATCTAGGGTCAGTGCTGGGGCATTAGAGGCCTTGTTCTAGATACGCCACATGTTCCTCTACCCCTGGGGTGCATTTATATGCCTGAGGTGGATTTATTATCCAGATAAGTTAAACCAAAACTGTAGTAGAAGAGGCCAGGGAACTCCTATTGGCCACTAGTCAGTTCAGACTTGGCTTAACTGACTTACAGCGAAACCCCGCCTTGTGAAAAACCCCCATGATTTTCTTTTTCAGTTTTTGTTTCTCCATAGGAGACGCAACCAAATCCTCTACAGGGGCAATATGACAGTATATATTGTTATTGTGATCAATTATGTCAATACAATATGCTGTTCTGAGCATATTGTGTATATCATCAGTACTTCTAGACACTGACCAACTGCTTGTTTCATTATAAAGACAGCAAAATTAGCCGTTTAACTGGATTTAGTGCCAAATTTTGAATAAAATGTAGCACTACTGTTTTTTTTTCTGTTCCAATTAAATAATTATCATGACACATTGTGTATCGATAAAAAAAAATATATTTTTTCTAGTATATTTTTTGCTATATTGCCCACTTCTAGTCCACTGTCAATTTAACCTGTGTAATGTTATTTCACCACCTACTTCAATGGTCCATTTGTCTCGGTCCTTTCAACAGGGACAGTGTTTATCATTAATATCCTGTTCTAATTTTTCAACATGGTTTCATCGAAGGAGATGGGAACCGATTTTAAACATTTCTGCATAATTAAACCATTAAGATGTAAACAGAGTGGTTCAGAGTGGTTCGGTGTGAAACGCTCTGTTCTAGAGAAACTTACTGAGTCAGAACCGTTCACAGTGGTGGTGATAGGAACCAGACGTCCACCTCTAAAAGCTCCCTCACAGAAAGTTACTACATGAAATGGTTATGAATTCACTGCCTGATGACTGAGACACTGTTTTATGATAGTTTTGAGCCTTATTTTGGCCTTAAAATCCATTCATGGTGGAGGGATACATAATATGCATAGTGTTGTGAGGCAACAGAAAACTTATTTCCACTATTTTCCATCATCAACATCCCATATAAACTCATAAGGCTCGTGTAGGTTCACTGGTGGTTCTGGATAGTAAATAAAATGTCTATATTTGTGCTGTGGTCACGGTGACCCCTGGTTCCTATCACCACCACTATGAAGAAATGCTCTACAATGATCAACCATTTCTCATAACACTACCCTGAATACAGCAGAATATTGTGAATCTAAGATTACGCCTTTTATGAAACACTGCTTCCATCATCACTTGGAAGGAAGGCAGAAAATACAAACACATGGCAGCCTTCTTGGTTAGTGTGGTCAGGCTGATATCTGGGCAAATAACCAATTCTTATCTGAGGTGACAAAAGTGAATATGAATGAACTCTTACAGCTACTGCTGTATGAGGCAAATATACACACAAACTTCTCTACGATTAAAAAAAGTCATTTTATTGACTGCATAACTGCACTACATTCATCTGTAAAGTCCAGTATAACGACAATGGTCTCGTTAGCATCTGTAAATCCGGCACCTCTCTGGGAGGTGGCCTGCTGGCTTTACCGCAACCAAGCGGGAACGCCGTTCATTGCAATCGCATTCCCATTCCAAGGCACTGTGTGAATACAAAGGCTGTTTCAAGTCTTGTGTCCATTGTTAGCCATTTTTTCCTGGAAGGCTAACCTCTTAACTCAGACGCAGCCACTAGCATGGCTAATCCGTAGTGACGTCTACTTCTCAGCTACTGTCTAACAGTAAACACCTTTTCCACTGTTTTACAGCAAACGGTTTGCGCAAATAACACATATTAATAACTTTACACATAAATTACTCTCTATAAATATCATAAAACAAGATATGTACAAATGCAATATAAATAGCTGATACAAGTATAAAAATAGTGATTCCTGAGAGTCTTTCCTGAGTGGATCAAAGTGCAAAGGGTTTGGACCCATGAAGTCTTTTTTGCAACTACAGAAAGTCCACCTCCGGCTGAGCTTTCTTACAGTACCCGAGAGCGCAACAACAAGCGCGTGCTGACCTTTACTCCTTCTCTAGCCCGTCCACGAGGAATATCCCAAAGCCGGAGCTGTTGAGGTCCAGTTGCCAGTTCTTCAGGCTCTTGTTTGAACTTATCCTAGCCAGGAGTCGGCTTTTCTGCTCCAGATGCGGGATCACGGTCCAGCACTTCTGGACCACGTCGTCTGAGTGGTTGGCTGGCAGCTTCACGGTGCAGGAGAGCTGCTCGCTGTTGCCCTGGCTTTCGAACGTGAGGGTCAGCGACCCGTTCTCACATTGGTAGACACAGGATAGTTTGAGCTGGGTGTACAGGAAGTAGCTTCCCTCGCGCTTCACTGTTAGCGCTCTGTGATCGGGGTCGTAGGTGTAGCCCGAGCCCACCGTCTTCCCGCTCCCATAGGATATGGACTCCCACTCCATTACTCCTTGTTTCAGCTCGCCTGGAGAAGAGAGAGACTCTTTAGGGGTGGCTCATAAGACACATCCAACACATGTATGGTCATTTCTTGATCTACTGGGTTGAAAATAATGACTATATGCATAACTTTAGTGAGTGACGTTAGGTACTTTTGAGTGTAACAGAGTTATGGACCTGCTGAGTTTAACCCCTTAAAAAGCCTGGCCCAATGTTTTATTACACACTTCTATAACCTAAGGATAGCTCCATTAGTTTGCATTGTAGTCCCTGTAATTACTGAGTAATAAGCCTTACTATGTAGTCTGGTTTGTTAAAGGGGTTAAGAAAAGAAAGATGTGAAGATGAATACTTACTGTTGGTGGCTCGCAGGTAGGCAAAACTCTGCGCCTGAGAATAAAAAGAGAGAAAAAAAAGAGAGACGGTGAGAAACTCGTTGCTTTTCCAGCTTACACAGATCATCAGAGCCCTGTAGACCACCTGCTGTCGAGGCTTTCTGGACAGAAAAATGCCAACTTGCATGGTACAGGTGGGACTACAGGGCTGGAGTTGGGACTGTACTGCATTACTGATGTTTACAACACCCCCCTTTGGGACCTAGAACCCTAGAAGCCACTCAGGCCAGCTCAGTATATAGAGTTGGACTCAGTTCTAAAACTGAATAACCACACTTTATATAGATAAGTGTTCAGGAACATCAGAGGGGATTGGGGGCATGTTGGGGGCAGTAGATGGCATTAAGTTATCCCCTTAAATGGAGGGGACCAAAGCTTTATTACACACTTTTATAACCTAAGAATAGCCCAGCCAGTTTGCATTGAAGTCCTTGTAATTACTGAGTAATAAGCCTTAATATGTAATAAGCCTGAGATTTTAAGGGGTTAAATTAGGGTTGGTACTAAACGAGGTAGGAGAGCCGATCTAGACCTTCTAGATCTGCTAATTTACACACATCAGGAAGCGTTCGCCCAGTTCTTCGTGGCAAAAAGAGTCTAGATAAATAGCAGAAGCCTTGTTGGTGCCATTTGCATTATAAAATGGTTCTTTGCATGGTGAAATGGTTCTTCAGATTGGAGAACGTGTTGTATATGGTTCAACATAGAACTTTTTTTGATACAACCGTTTTCAGAAAGGTTCTACATAGAACTATATAATCAATCTGAAGAGCCACTTCACCATGCAAGCATGAAATGATTCTGTATAGAACTTTAAATGGAACCACTACCACTAAAGAACCCTTGAAGAACCATTTTTTTTCCCCCATTTCAGCTCTCTGATGTTCCACACTGGCTGTTTCTAGTCTTAGAACCCATTCAGTACTGCAGTGCTATCTGAAAAGCTGACTTCTTCTAAGAATGCTCCGTTCCACCTTAAATGGTGCAGCAGTAATGTGCTTAAGGTGGAACGGAGACTTGGCAGAGCTTCATATTTGATCCACACGAGCCTCACCTTGTAGCCCGAGCCAATGTCCGCGTGCAGGGACCCTAACGTTGGACTGTCGTCCGTAATGTCCCTCTTCTTAATGCTGTCCATCTCGGACTTCAGGTTCAGCGCGAAGAGCAGCGCGAGCACGAACCCCGCGACCGTCAGCACGAAGAGCGCGAGCACGGATCCCACAAGGCACGCGTCCATGCGCCTGCAGCGGGAGCGCGCGGCTCCGCTCTCCAAGCTCTCTAGGTCTGTGGATGACATGGCGATGTGTGCACTCCTCTGTGTGTGTCTCTCTGTCTGTCTCTCTGTCTGTCCCTCCGTCTCCGGCTCTCTCGGTTTGTTGACTCCACGCCAGTGGTCATGTTTTTATACGGCCGTCTACTGGAAAAAAAGGAGGAAGTAACGGGTTTCCCTGAGTCCCGCCTCCTCGCTGCGTCACTCAGGCATGCAGAGAGCGAGAACAGAAAAGAAAAAAAACCTGCAGACTTTCCGCAGCGTCCTCCTCCTCCTACTCCTACTCCTCTCGGGCTGCTTCAGCTTTTCGTCGCTCTTGCGTAACCGGGCACGCGGACTCGGAACGCAGCAGCTACAGCATCAGGAGAAGAAGCGGCGCGAGAGCGACGCCTCCGTCACACTGGCCCACGGCACGGTCTCCGAGCTTGAGACCTGCTGGAGTGAGGGGGCTTTAGGGGGAGTCAGCGGGAATAAGAAGGTTAGGGGACACCAGGGAGGATGGAAAGACTTTAGGAACATCTGGGGCAGTAGATGGCATTAGGGGACATCTGGGGCAGCAGATGGCATTAGGGGACATCTGGGGCAGTAGATGGCATTAGGGAACATCTGGGGCTGTAGATGGCATTAGGGGCATCTGGGGTCAGCAGATGGCATTAGGGAACATCTGGGGCTGTAGATGGCATAAGGGGCATCTGGGGTCAGCAGATGGCATTAGGGAACATCTGGGGCAGTAGATGGCATTAGGGGCTTCTGGGGTCAGCAGATGGCATTAGGGAACATCTGGGGGCAGTAGATAGCATTAGGGGACATCTGGGGGCAGTAGATAGCATTAGGGGACATCTGGGGGCAGTAGATAGCATTAGGGGACATATGGGGCAGTAGATGTAATTAGGGGACATACAGGACAGCAGATGGAATTAGGAGAAACCTGGGGCAGTAGATAACATTAAGGGGCATCTGGGTTAATAGATGGCATTAGAGGACATCTGGGACAGTAGATGGCATTAGAGAAATCTAAAGGCAGTAGATGGCATTGGGGAACATCTGGAGCAGCAGATGGCATTAGAGGGTAATAGGAAGCATTAGGGGGTGATGGGAGGCGAACACTCCCCCTGCAGTGAATACAGGGTGAGTTCAGCCATTGTGGGACACTTTAAGACAATTCTTGTTCCAGTTTCATCAGATGTATTGTTTCTCAATGAATAAAAGGAAAGCTGTAAAGTGACTCATGCTAATTTGTGGTGAAAAACTAAATGGGAATGGCATCATTCATGGCCTTGACTACTACCCAACACAGCTGCCAGACCTGATGGGCCATAATACCAGAGTTAAGTAGATGCAGATAGTCCTGAATTTTGGACAGTACTGTATATATATATATATACATATATATATATATATATATATATATATATATATATATATATATATATATCAGAGGCCACAGCTTATTGATTAGTACTCATTTAATGTCAGGAAAAAAGCATAAAAAATAGATCTAACAGAAAATTACACAGAAACCCCAACAAGTATTTTTAAACTTTAGTTTTGGAAACTTTTTTAAATGAATTTTTCTTTGACTTTCTGCTTCCTTATGCACATGGATTATATCTAATCTCCTCATAAATATCTGCTGAAAATGAAGAACTTGCCCTTAATGGCTGTTTTGACAGGAAATGAAATAAAGGAAGGGGGAGTCTGAGAGTTTTGCAGCGTATAAAAAAAACTCAAATACGTGGTATTATAAGCATGACATCATAGTCCGATTTAGAGGCCAAGTCAGACACACCCAGAACAGCGGCTCGCTCTAAACCAGCAGCGCCTGTGTGTGGGCGTGTGTGTGTTTCAGAGCAGGGGGTGTATTTACGTGGGTGAGTGTGTGTTGTGAGGCGGCTGCACGGCTGAAGTGAAACGGAGTCAAAAGGACAGAGAACTCCCTAAGATTCTACAGGAAGTGACATCGATACACACTTCGGTCCTGGATTACTGTAAATAAACACACATGACCGCCCTCTGAACATCTGCCCGCCTAATGCACCTAATGAGGAATTTCAAGGAGGTCGACCCTGAGCTCCCAGCACTGCTTAGCCTTGATTCTAATAAATAAACACACAGTTTATCAGGGGTTAAAGAGACCTGCTGGTGAAGGACCAGCCTCTAAATGAAGGAGCTGCAGGTGAAGGCTGGCTGGACACAACATCAACATTTTGTCAAACAATAGAAAATTTATGGAAAGCTGCTCTGCGTCAGTGACTGATGTAAAAAGTGTTACACAAATTAAAGTGAATTACACTGAAACCCGTGTTTGACGCAGAGTAAATATCTGACTCGGACTTGTTTCGGACTTGTGTTCGTAGAACACACTACAGGATAAAAGTTTTTTTTACAGTTTCAGAAATATTTCACAACTCATTCAAGGTCATTTTCCAAGAGCTAACACTAAACATGCTTACTGTCCCATAAACTCCTCTGAAACCTAATCAGCCATTCATCTTTTTTCACTTCTGTAAATGACTTGATAGGTGCTGGAGATGTGAGTCACACAACAGTTCAATCATGATGTTGATTCAATGAGGATTCCATTGTTAAATCTCAGATGTCACCACGATTTGATTAGTTGGTATGATTTGGAGTTATTTAAAAAAAAAATACACTAAACACGAGTTGATTCCAGTCAAAAATGAGCGCATAATCATCATGAACTTTATTATAACGGACTCTAATAGAGACGCAAGACTCACAAAAGTTTGATTATGATTGGAGTTTGATGATCTTTGGGAAACATTACAGTGAGGCATGAAAGTTTCGACAGAGTTTAATTAGATTGCTCTGGTACAATTCAGCATTTTTAAAAAAAACAAAAAACAAACAAAAAAAATTTCGAAAAACACACAAAGCTTTTTATTATTTGAAAAGAAGCCTGAAAATGTGTTCTTAGCCAAAACGTCAACACATACAATGTTAATACATATACATTCAGACTGAACTCGTTAACACTATTACCGCACACATTCAGACTGAACTCGTTAACACTATCACCGCACACATTCAGACTGAACTCGTTAACACTATTACCGCACACATTTAGACTGAACTCATTAAACACTATTACCGCACACATTTAGACTGAACTCGTTAACACTTACCGCACACATTCAGACTGAACTCGTTAACACTATTACCGCACACATTCAGACTGAACTCATTAACACTATCACCGCACACATTCAGACTGAACTCGTTAACACTATTACCGCACACATTTAGACTGAACTCGTTAACACTATTACCGCACACATTTAGACTGAACTCGTTAACACTATTACCGCACACATTCAGACTGAACTCGTTAACACTATTACCACACACATTTAGACTGAACTCGTTAACACTTACCGCACACATTCAGACTGAACTCGTTAACACTATTACCGCACATATTTAGACTGAATTCATTAACACTATTGCCGCACACATTTAGACTAAGCTCATTAACACTATTGCCGCACACATTTAGCCTAAACCCAACACTATTAGAAAAACATTTAGACTAAACCCATTAACACTCACCTTGCACACTGTTACTGCACACATTTAGACTCAACTCATTAACATGTGTTACTGCACACATTTTAGTCTAAACTCATTAACGTGTTACTGAACCTGCACGCATTTAGACTAAACTCATTAATACTATTACTGCACACGTTTAGACTGAACTCATTAACACTATTACTGCACACGTTTAGACTGAACTCATTAACACTATTACTGCACACATTTACACTAAACTCATTAACACTATTACTGCATACTGTTATTGCACTAAACTAGTCTAAGCCCAGTTAGTGTTGCTTCCAAGTTTCTGTCCCGTATTGTATATGATTCATTATTCACATCCTGATGTCTACAGGATGTTGGTGGGTTGGTGGATCATGAGTCCAGCTTTAACCCCCACACCCCACGTAACTTTAAACATAAGAAGTCTCACAGTGCACCCCCTCAAAGTAAGAAAGATCTGTCATACGTGATGATGTCACAGTGTTTCATCAGCTGCATTCCTTTGTCACATGAACATGATTAGCTGAAAACTCTGACTGCAGTAAAGCCAGAGAAACATCCGCATGCTGCCAAAACAGCTCTGACCCACCAAGGCTTGGGCCGTCCAAGACCTCTGAAGGTGCCCTGTGGTAACTGCCACCAAGACATCAGCAGCGGTTCCTTTAAGTGCTACAAGTTGCAAGATGGAGCCACCAAGATCTGTCTTGTTTTTAAAGTAAATCCCACAGATGTTTGAACAGATTGAGATCTGGAGAATTTGGAGGCCAGAGCAACACCTTGTGGTCCTCATGATGTTCCTCAGAACATTCCTGAACATTGTGTGCAGTGTGGCAGGTCATTATCTTGCTGAAAGAGGCCACTACCATTGTCGAATACCATCACCATGAAGGGGTGAACCTGATCCGCAACAATGTTTAGGGTGGTGGTACTTGTCAAACTGAATGTCCAGGCCCAGAGTATCCCAGCAGAACTTTGCCCAGAGCTTCACACTCCCTCCACTGGCTTGTCTTCTTCTCACAGTGCATCCTGGTACCATCATTTCCCCAGGCAGGCACCTCACGCATACCCAGCCATCCATGTGATGTAAGAGAAAACGGGAATCAGCCAAGGTGACCTTCTTCCTTTAAGTGACCCTTATTAGTCCCACAACGGGGAAATTTCACCTCCTCGTTTTAACCCATCCGTGCAGTGAAACACTACATACACACTAGTGAACACACACACTAGGGGGCAGTGAGCACGCTTGCATGGAGCGGTGGGCAGCCCTATCCATGGTGCCTGGGGAGCAGTTGGGGGTTAGGTGCCTTGCTCACTTCAGTCATGTACTGTTGGCTCAGGGGATTAAACCGGCGACCTTCCGGTCACAAGGCTGGTTCCCTAAACTTCAGCCCATGACTTCCCTCCAATGTCCAGTTTTGTCGCTCATGTGTCCATTGTAGGTACTTTCTATGGTATACAGGGGTTAGCATGGGCACTTTGACTGTTCTGCAGCTACGCAGTCCCATACACAGCAGGATGCAAATGCAGTGTGTTCTGTCTGTTTGGACCGGATGGCCATCGATGAGCCTTGGGCGC